TTGATGATTTTTTGAGTTTGTAAGTTTTATGAATTGAATAGGAATTACTTCAGTAATTTGAAAAGAAAGTTAATGCTATTTTAAAATGATCCCAGGTATTTAAAGAGGGGTACTACGTAATGATAATAGGGCTAATTCACCAAATAGACATGAAAATACTAAATGTATATGCACACAGTAACAGAGCTTCAAAGTATATGAAGTAAAACATGATAGAACTGAAAAAACTTAGTCTATTTGACACTTATAGAGTGCTCTACCCAACAAGGGCAGAAAAACAAATTCTTTTCAAGTGTACATAAAATATTTACCCAAAATGAACCATATTCTTAAGCATGAGACAAATCTTAACAAATTTAAGAGCATTGAAATGACATAAAGGATGTTCTCTAAACATAATGGAATTAAACTAGAAATCAATAACAGAAAGATATCTGGGGAAATCCCCAAGTATTTGGAAATTAAACATACTTCTAAATAAATAAATGTTAAAGATGAAGTCACAAAGCATATTAGAAAATACCTTGATTTAAATGAAAGTTAAAACTTGGCAAACCAAAATTTGTAGGAATGCAGGTAAGGCAGTGCTTAGAGGGACATTTATAGCATCAATTCCTTATGTTAGAAAAGAAGAAAGGCCTTAAATCAATAATCTACTTTAAGAAACAGGAAACAGAAGAGTAGATTAAACCCAATGTATGCAGAAGAAAAAGAAATAATACAGATTAGAGAGGAAATAAATTAAATTGAAAACATTCAATAAAAAGGAACAGTGCTTCCTTAAAAAGATCAATAAGGTTGATAAACCTCTAGATTAACTCAAGAAAGAAAGAGAAACAAGTGTTGGTGAGGATGTGGAGAAACTGAAACTCTTGTACACTGTTGATGAGAATGCAAAATGGTGCAGGAGCCAAGGAAAACAGTATGAAGGTCCTCAAAAAATTAAAACTAGAGCTACCATATGATCCAGCAATCCCACTTCTGGGTATATATCAAAAAGAATTGAAATCAGGTTCTCAAAGAGATATTGGCACTCTCATCTTCACTGCAGTATTATTTACAATAGATAATATATGAAAATAACCCAATGTCTATCAGCAGACAAATGGATAACAAAATGTGGTATTTACATACAATGGAACATTATTCCACTTTTTAAAAGAAGGAAATCCTGCCATTTGCAGCAACATGGTTGAACTTGTAGGACATTATGCTACGTGAAATAAGCCAGTTACAGAAGGACAAATACTGCATGATTTCACTTGTATGAAGTTTCTAAAATAGTCAAACTCGTAGAAGCAGTGAATATAATAGAGGTTGCCAGGGACTGGGAGTTGGGGGAAATGGGGAATAATTTGTCAAAGAGTACAAAGTTTCGGTTAGCAAGATGAATAAGTTCTAGAGATCTGCTGTACAACATAGTGCCTATAGTTAACAATAAGGTAGTGTGCACTTCAAAATTTGTTTTTACCACAAAAAAAAAGAAAAGAAAAAGATGCAAGGAAACTTTGGGAGGTCTTGGATATGTCTATTACCTTGATGGTGGTAAGGGTATCACAAGTGTTTACATATGTCCAAATACATCAAATTTTACATATTAAATATGCACAGTTCTTTGTATATCAATCATACCTCAATAGAGCTGCTAAAAATAAAATACAATAAAACTAGCCAAGGAACAAAAGAAAGAAAGGGTATACACCAAGTACACTATCAGGAATGAAAGGAGAGACAGAAGTCAGACCTTACAGAAATTAAAAATATTATAAGGGAATATTATGGAAACCTTTATGCTCATAAATTTGACAACTTATATGAAATGGACAAATTCCATGCAAGACACAAACTACCACAGCTGACACAAAAGGAAATAGATAATATGTCCACGTGTCTCTTAAGGACATTTAATTCATAGTTAGAAACTTTCCCACAAAGAAAACTCCAGGCCCAGATGGCTTCAATGGTAAATTCTACCAAACATTTAAGGAAGAAACAATACTAATTTTACACAAAAACTTCCACAAAAATTTAAGAGAGGAAGAACTCTTCCCAACTAATTTCATGAGTCTAGCATTACCCTGATAGGAAAAACAGATGAAGACATTACAAGAAAAGAAAACCAGTATCTTTCATGAACACGGACAGCCAAATTTTAGCAAATTGAATCCAGCAATATTTAAAAAGAAAAATATGTCACGACCTTGTGGGGCTTATCTTAGGAATACAAGGCTCATGCAACATTTGAAAATCAATGTAATTCTCCATTACCAATACACTAAAAAAAATATGATACTATCAAAGATGCAGGGAAAGCACTTGACGAAGTTCAACATCCATTCATAATTTCAAAAAAAGCTCTCTCAGGAAACCAGTGCAAGGAAACTTCCTTAATCTGATAAAGGATCTCCACTAAAAATATAAAGCCAGCATTATGTATTATGGTGAAAGACTGAATGCTTTCTTCCTAAAAGTGAAGACAATGTAAGGATATCTGCTCTCACCACTCCATTTAACATCTTACTGGAAGTCCTAGCCAATGCAATAAGGGAAAAACAAAACAACTAAAATGCATAGATATTGGAAAGGAAAAATAAAACTGTCTCTATTTGCAAATGACATGATTATGTATGAAGAAAATCTCAAGGAATACACAAAGTAGCTCTTGGAACTAATAAGAGAGCTTAGCAAGGTTTCAGGATGCAAAATCAATATAAAAAATCAGCTGTATTTCTATGCACTAGCAATAAAAAGCATAATTTAAAAAACAATGCTATTTACATAAACACCAAAAAACATGAAATACTTAAATGCAAATCTCACAAAATACGTGCAGGATCTGTATGCTAAAAAACACAAACACTTCTGAAAAAAAAAAACCCAAATAAATGGGAGGAGATAATGTGTTCAAGGATTGGAAGACTAAATATTGTCAACATGTCAATTCTCCCCAAACTTATCTATAAATTTAATGCAATACAAATAAAAATCTCAGCAGGATTTCTTTTGTAGAATTCAACAAATTGATTTTAAAGTTTATATGGAAAGGTAAAAAGATTAGAATATCAAATACAGTTTCAAAACAGAAAATAACAGCTGGAGAATTCACACTACTGGATTTCAAGACATAATAAAACTGCATTAATCATAACAGTGTGGTATTGGAGAAAGAATAGACTATAGATCAACAGAACAAAATAGAGTCCAGAAATACACCCACATGTAGGGTCAATTGATTTTTTTTTTTAAAGATTTTATTTTTTTCCTTTTTCTCCCCAAAGCCCCCCGGTACATAGTTGTATGTTCTTCGTTGTGGGTCCTTCTAGTTGTGGCATGTGGGACGCTGCCTCAGCGTGGTTTGATGAGCAGTGCCATGTCCGCGCCCAGGATTCGAACTGACGAAACACTGGGCCGCCTGCAGCGGAGCGCGTGAACTTAACCACTCAGCCACGGGGCCAGCCCCTAGGGTCAATTGATTTTTGACAAGGGTTAAAGGCAATACAATGGAGAAGGATAGTTTTTCAGTAGTTGATATTTGAACTATTAATGCATACTTCACACCTTATTAAAAACTAAAAGTAGATCACAGACCTAGATTTAAAACATAGAGCTATAAATCCTCTGGAAGAAAACATGGAGAAAATTCTTATGACCTTGGGTTAGGCAAAGACATTAGATGCAACACCAAAAGTACAAGCCATCAAAAAATTGATAAATTGGACTGCATCAAATATTAAAAATTCTAGTCTCTGAAAGACACTATTTAGAAAACGAAAACACAATCCACAGGTGGAATAAAATATTTACAAAACACTTATCTGACATAGAACTTGTATCCCGAATATATAAGAAACTCTGAAATCTCAATAACAACTAACACCACCAAATGCTGGTGAGGATATGGAGTCAGAGGAACTCTCATTTGTTGCTAGTGGAATGCAAATGGTATAGCCATTTGGGAAGATAATTTGACAGTTTCTTGCAAAACTAAACATACTCTTACCATACGATCCAGCAGTTGTACTCCAGGGTATTTATCCAAATGAGTTGAAAACATATCCACACAAAAACCTGCACACCATGTTTGTAGCAACTTTATTCATAACTGCCAAAACTTGGAAGCAACCAAGATATCCTTCAGTAAGTAAACAGATAAATAAACTGTGATACATCCATACAATAGAATATTATTTGGCACTAAAGAGAAATGAGCTATGAAAATGAGCATGAAAAAACATGGAAGAACCTTAAATGCATATTACTAAGTGAAAGAAGCCAACCTGAAAAGGCTATATACTATAGGATTCCAACTATATAACGTTCTGGAAACAGCAAAACTATGGAGATAATAAAAAGGTCAACGGTTGCCAGGGATTAGGGAGGATGGAGGGATGAACAGACAGAGCACAGGGGACTTTCAGGGCAGTGAAACTACTCTGTATGACACTATAATGGTGTATACATGTCATTATACATTTGTCCAAATCTATAGAATGTACAAACCAAGAGTGAGCTCTAATGTAAATTATGGGCTTTGATAATGATGTGTCAATGTAGGTTCATCAATTGTAAAAAATGTACCACTCTTGTGTGGAATGTCAGTAACGGGGGATGTTATGCATATATGAAGGCAGGCAGTATATGGAAAATCTCTGTGCCTTCTGCTCAATTTTTCTGTGAACCTAAAACTTCTCTAAAAAATAAAGTCTATAAAAAATTCAATATGAAAACAAACCAATTTTTTAAAGTCAGTAAAAGATTTGAACAGATACTTCACCAAAGACAATATAGAGGTGGCAAATAAGCACATGAAAATATGCTCAATATCATTAGTCATTAAGGAAATGCACACTAAAATAACAAGATATACCACTACACATCTTTTAGAGTGACCAAACTTGAAAAATATGACAATATCAACTGCTAGCAAGGATGTGGAGTAACTGAAATGCTTTTACATTACTAATGGGAATGTAAAATGCTACAGGCACTTTAGAAAACAGTTTAGCAGTTTCTTATGAAGCTAAATGTGCACAGACCCTATGACCCAGCCATCACACTCCTAGATATTTACCCAAGAGAAATGGAAACATACATTTACACAAAAACTGCGTGAGTAATTAATAGTGGCTTTATTCAAAATCACAAAAAAACTGAATACAACCCAAATGTCTTTCACCTGATGAACGGATATAAACAAACTCTGAATACCATAAAATGAAATACTACAGAACAATAAAAAGTATGAACTACATGCAACAACACGGATAAATCTCAAAATAGTTACATTGAGTGAAAGAAGCCATATTCAAAAGGCTATGATTACATTTATATGACATTTTGGAAAATAAAAAACTGTTGACAACATTGACAGAAAACATATCGGTAGTTTCCAGAAGCTTGGAACAGAGACAGCACAAGGGAATTTGGAGGGGAGAGTATGATGGGATTGTTCTGTATCCTGATTTTGATGGTGTTTACATGATTGAATGATTTTTCAAAATGCATAGCACTCTTTGAATTTTGCAGCACATTTCATTCTACGTAAATTAAGCCTCAAAAACTAAAATTTAAAAATGTCAATTAGATTTTTTTTTAAATCTCAAGTAGTATAGCCTAAATGCCAAAGTCAGATGTTTGAATTTTGAACATTATAAAAACAAAGGAATACAGAATCCAAGTTAAGGTAGTAAATCTTAAATAGAGAGCTTTGTTTTGACCTGTGATTTCTCATCAAAGGCCAGTCAATTCTTACGCACAGGTATTTTTGTTTGTTTGTTTAGTTCTCCCTCATTTCTTCCTTGGTTCAAGATGGACAATCTCTGAATTTCCGTGACCACCAAGGATGCAGTGGATCTTCATCTTTTCCCTAAGTCAGACAGACAGAAATAGATACATGTACATACAGACACAAACACACACACGCACTGAGCTTCAGACTCAGTATCTAGCACAGTGTCTTGCTCACAGCAGATATTAAACATTTTTGGTGATGTTCCTGGGCCCCACCAACTCCTCTATCCTTCGCTTACAGGACAATATGCTGCCTCGTGACTCTTCATTTCTGATCCTATTTTTGCTCGTACATAGACTCCCTCGCTCTACTTTCTCCCTGCCCAAACCAGGAAATGTCTTACCCACTACCAGTTTGCTTAATATTTAGCATCAGTGACGAACATCTCTAAACTCCAAATCAGCATGTGTCCCAGGAAAGTGCACCAGAATATCACCTAGGAAAATATAAAAGAAAAAGGAAAGTTTTTTTTCCTACTATAGAAAATATGGTAAGGGTTTAGTTGTCAGTGTTCATTTACTTTGTTTTGTTTTGTCTTTTGTTATAACTTTGTGGCTTCCTGTGAACTAGATAGCAGTTGTGGGTACTTGTCAAAGAACCCATCTGCCTTAATAAGTCAATTATCATTTGAGTTACCCTAGTGCCTTACTGCTAATAAGTAATTCTGAAATATCAAGAAAACTCATAAATTGTAAGGCAAATCGGACATTTTTCACAAAGCATTTACTTATCAGGAAGTGATAAGATCTCCAGTTTGAGCTACTATGAAGTTGCCAAGAAACATATTAAAGAAAACAAGGAAGAATAGACCTGTAGAAGAATGGCTTAAATTTTTTAATTAAATTAACATTTAAAATAAAAGATTGACCTTGAATTTAAGCTTCAATAGCACATATGCTGACTCCATTTCTTTCAGTGGGACAGATTCCTCAAATGATTATACTAATCCAGAATATACACCTCTCTGACTATCAAATTAGAAAAGGAGTAGGGACAAAGGCTAAGATAATGTCTTCTTATTTCTACTCCTCTTCCCAATATTGGAGGCATTTATTTGCAAATCTGACAAGAGACAATAACAAAGAGAGAAATAACATCTTGGTGGTCTATAACTGAAAAGAAGAATTGGAAAATTATTTTTTAAAATGCAAGTTGACAGGAAAAAGAAAAGGAAGTTTCGTCTCCACTCCAGCTAAAATTTCTTGAGAATGTTAAATAATGAAACCCTGTAAGACAAAGCTAGCATGAGATAAAACAAAGAGGGCACAGAGTGGTTGAACACTCAGCATGCTGTCTTGGAAATATGAGAGGCAGTACAGTCTACAGTGAAGAGTGTTGGTTTAGGAGTCAAGGCAAAGTGTAGTATTTGTTAGTGCAACATCAGGAGTGATGTGAACATTGAATGAGATCACAAACATGAATATGAAATAACTGTAAACTTTATAGTATGCCAGTAATATATCAAGAATAATGATTATTATTATTTTATGCTAGAGCCCCAAAATTTTATTTCTCTAAAATTACCAAACGAAACCTGAAATTATAATGAGTGTAAATGGAAAAAGAAAATAAGTAGTCTTTAAAGTTACCTCTTTCTAAGTAATCCAGAGTTCTTTTTTTAATCTTATGCTCATTTCATTTTAATTTGTTCTACAAAAATATTAGAGTAGAAGTTACCACTTATATTTCACTAGAAGTATGCTAGCACCTGTCCTCTGCTGGTGAGGATTCTAGATTAATTTTTGTTGTACTCAGTGACTCTAAGACCTGGAATATTTTATCTCTGAGAACAATTTGCAACCAGATTTGAAGTGAGGAAATGTCTCTGCCTTCCTCAGGGTTAGCAGAATTAGACCCTAGACACCCAAGTAGATCCCATATAGTGGATTAAGAGAAAAACTTAACGCCAAAAAGTCCACAGTGTTAATAGAAACTGAGGCTCTTTGGGCTCTGCCTATCTTTCATTGGTGTGTTTAGATTTCTATCAGGACTTGACAACAACTCAGCTTCAACACATCAGAATCAATTTGTCAAGGTGGACACAGTGTAGAAGGGATACTGACCTAAAGAAGGTCCCAGTCCTACCTCTACCCTTCACAAGCTGAGTTACTTTGGGGAAATCACATTCCTTTCTGGGCTTTTTTTCCCCTTATCTATAAATGAAGAGATTGAATACACAATTTTACCTCTAAAATTCTATCTTTTGATTGGCTTGGTGAGTGTCCTTTTCCTTCTCCTACTCCGTGTGTCTTCTGCTGAAATAATGCTCTCAGCAAACAAGTATGGCCTTTTCCTGGCAAAGAAGGACTGTTTTTCTATCATGAATATATAATTCCCATAAGGAAGAAGATAAGCGATGCAGAGAAAATGAGGTAGCCTCATACAATTCCTAGATGAATAAACATTTAATTTACAAAAGAGTATTAGATACTAACCTTGAAAAACACACAATATTTATAGAACCCAGCAGTCCCTAGGACTAAAAAAACTAACAAACTGGCTTTTGGCAGCTATAAAATACATTTGGTTTTCTTCCATTGGTTTTTACATCACAAGAAGGTAACACAAGCACTATTGTAGCAATGTCACTTTTCAATATTTAAACTCAGTGACATCTCTGAACAGGGTTGACCACCTACATCATATATAGGTGCCTATGTGCAGTGGTGACTTCAGTAATAGTGGAAAGGATTCATAGAAAAAGCATATAATTCTGTATAGGTATGCATATTTATTGCAAGCTCTGAAGGCAAACTGCCTGGATTCAAATCCTAGCTACACCACTAATTCACTGCCTAAACTTAAGGAAGTTACTCAACCTCTCCATGCTTCAGTTTCCTCAACTGTCAAATAAGGGGAATGACTGTACATTCTATTTAGATTGTTGTGGAGATTGAATGAGATAATATGTGTAAACCACTTAGCATTAGTATTTGGTATATAGTAATTACTCACTAAGTATCAGCCAGTGTAACAGGATGCTAAATATGACGTTTTGCCATTGTGCCAGTTTAAGCAGAAGCCCCAACCCCAAAAACAATGCGATATGTAAGGAAGTATAAGATCATCTAGAAAAGCTTGCAGGTAGAGTGTCCAAAACTCCATTCTGCCAGCCTTAGTCCTTCAGCCACTTCCAGGCTACATAAGAGAAGGCTAAGAATTCATTGAGAGTATATAGAGCGCTATTTAAAAAATATTATTTGTCTTTTTTTCCACTTTTATTGAGATATAATTGACATACAGCACTATGTAAGATTAAGGTGTATAACATAACGACTTGCCCTACATATATTGTGAAATGATTACCACGATAAGTTAGTTAACATCAATCATCTTATATAGATACAAAAAAGGAAAAAAGCTTTTTCCTTGTAATGGAACTCTTAAAATTTACTCCCTTAACAACTTTCAAATATCCCATACAGCAGTATTAACTATAGTGCTCATGCTGTACATTACATTCCCAGTATTTATTTATCTTATAGCTGAAAATTTGTACCTTTTGACCACCTTCATCCAATTCCCTCACCTCCCAGCTCTGGTAACCACAAATCTCATCTCTTTTTCTATGAATTTATTTTTTGTTTCAGATTCCACATACAAGTGAGATCACACAGTATTTGTCTTTCTCTGTCTGACATATTTCACTTAGCATAATGCCCTCAAAGTCCATCCATGTTGTCACAAATGGCAGGATTTCCTTCTTTTTATGACAATAATAATCCATTATATGTTAGCTCAGAGACAGTCTTCCTCATCAAAGGGAGGAGGATTGGCCGTAGTTAGCTCAGGGCTAATCTTCCTCAAAAAAAAAAAAAAAAAAAAGAGGAAAGGTGATTAGTATCACAAATGCACTGGCGGAGGGTCAAGTCATCAAACACCATGAAGAACTACAGTAACACTGCAGAACAGAAGGAAAATGACAAATATCCAGAAACCAAACCTGAAGTCACAGAAAACTGCATTCTAACTGAAAGAGAACTCAAAATTGCTATCATAAAGAAACTCAATGAGTTACAAGAAAACTCAGAAAGACAGTTCAATGAGCTCAAGAATAAAATTGCTGAACAGAAAGAATACTTCACCAAAGAGATGGAGGATCTAAAAAATTACCAAACAGAAATTCTGGACATGAGGAACACAATTAGTGAGGTACAAATAATGTAGAAAGCAAAAAAATGGAGTAGATCTTATGGAGAAGAGAATTAGTGACCTTGAACAGAGAAATACAGAAATGCTTCAGGTGGAGGAAGAGAGAGAACGAAGTTGTTTTTTTTTAAATGAAGAAATTATTTGCGAAATATCTGATTCAATTAGGAAAATCAACATAAGAATTATCAGTATCCCAGAGGGAGAAAAGAGCAGAAGGCTTATTCAGAGAATTACTAGCTGAGAACTTCCCAAGCCTCGGGAAAAAACTGGACATACAAGTACATGAAACCAATACAATGCAAATTTAAATAGCAAAATATCACTACACATCAATTAGATGACTAAAAATAGTGGCAATACCAAATGCTAGTGAGGATGCAGAGAAGCAATCACTCATACATTGCTTTTGGGGACATAAAGTGGTGCAACCACTCTGGAAAGCACTTTGGCATTTTTTACTAAATTAAACATACCATTGCCATACAACCAAACAATTGAACTCTGAGGCATTTATCCCAGGGAAATGAAAATTATAGCCACAGAGAAACCTACACACGAGTGTTCATAGCAGCTTTGTTCATAAGAACCAAACACAGAGATAAGGAGAACAGATTGGTGGTTACCATAAAGAAAAGGGGTGACAGGACATCAAAAGGGATAAAGGGGCACATATGTATGGTGATGCACAAAAACTGGAGTTTTGGTGGTGAATATGATGCAGCCTATACAAAAGCCAAAATATGATGTACACCTGAAATTTACACAACGTGACCTCAATAAAATAATTTAGAAAAAAAACTAGAGACAACCAAAATGTCCTTCAGCAAATGAATAATTAAATAAACTGTGGCACATCCATACCCTGGAATACTAAGAAATAAAAAGGATCAAACTATTGATACATGCAACAACTTGGATGAAGTTCCAGGGAATTATGCTGAGTAAGAAAAAGCCAATCCCAAAAGGTTACAAACTGTATGACTCCACTTATATAACATTCTTGAAATGACAAAATTATAGAAATGGAGATCAATGGTTGCCTGAGATTGAGAGATGAGGGCAAGAACAAAAGTCGATGTGGCTATAAAAGGCAACATGAATCTTTGTGGTGATGGAAATATTCTGTATCTGACTGTATCAGTGTCAATCTCCTGGTTGTGATATCGCACTATACTTTTGCAAGATGTTACCTTTGGGGGAAACTGGGGAAGGGTACACAGCATCTCTCTCTCTGTATTATTTCTTACAACTGCATGTGAATCTACAATTATCCCAACATAAAATTTTAATTTAAAAAAATTTTAGCACCAGGTTCCCCACCAACACATGCTCCATGTCTGGGCCATGCCCATATGGGCGGAAGAGGCTCTCTGCACTGGACACTGGCCTGGTGCCCAGCAGGGGCACACAGAGCAACACAAACAACACGAGAGGTCGGGGCACGAGCTATCTGAGACCAAGCCAAGCTCTGTAGCACTGCCATATCATTCCCCCTGGGTGAGATTCACCTTAGAGGTATTCAGTCATAATCGCACAAATAGTCACTTCACCCATTGGTTTCTCAGCCAAGCACACACACCATTTGAATTTTTTTTTAATTTCTTTTTTGTTTTTGTGTTTTTACACTTTTTTTTTTTTTTTTTACGAATCCTTGTGTGGAGGCTGACCTTCAGTAGATCGCAGTGAGGAAGCTGCTCTGTAGATGACCCAGAAGCAGGTTGTCTATGAATGGTTTAGCACCATAAAATTTTTTCAAATGAAAGAAACCAAAAGAGAGAAAATATATTTAATGTTAGAGAAAGAAATTCATAATATATTGTTAAATAAAAATAACAGGTTGATAAACAATATGTATAATGTAATTCCATTTTGATGAATATATCTCCGTATATATGTAAAGAAAAAGGCATAAAAGGCTATACACATGAATATTAAGAGTGGGTTAATTTAGCATGGTGGGATCATGGATGATTTTTTATTGATTTTATTTTTGCTTAGTGATATTTTGTAATTTCATATAACTAAAATAAAATGAAGTAACTTCAGAAAAAAACACTTTAAATTTATTTACACTAAAATGTTAGTGATTTCTCAAATCCACTTTGCTTCAAACGGTTGCAACTCAATCAGCATAAGAAAAGAAGCACTGGATGCCTAGACAATAGAAGAAACAGAGAAAAGAAATCTTTAAATAAAAGAAAAGTCATGAAGGGCTCACTTCATTTATTCCCTAATTTTCCTCAGAGCTGACCCTGCTGGACTGACAAGTTCAGAGTTAATTTCACATGTTTGGCAGACACACTTTGCCCCCAAGAAGACCTACACAGTGTGGAAGAGAGATTTCTAGATTTCTAGCCCCTTCTCTGTTTAAAATGTTCTTCTGATAGGCTCTCCTGAGTACCTATTAAGTACAACAAGACTATCCAACACACTCTTAAAAGTCTGAAAGGAGGCAACAGTTGTGCAACATGGAGTGGTTATTTATATATAATGCTATCAGCACTTCCTGCTTAGAACAGGAAGAAGGAGAAGGACTGACAGTTATAAACCCAAAATGAGTAAAATGAAGAGTCTTCTTTATCTCAGGAACAAAAAGACAGACTCTTATAGCTACCATTTTGACTGCTCCTGATGACTGCTTGTTTGCTTGTTTGTTTGTTTGTTTAAATGATATTGGACTCAAGACAGCCTGGAAATTGATAGTCATCAGATTCAAGAATGTGCTTCACTTAGAAATCAAAGTCAGCATTAGAACCATTTCAGAGGAGGGAGGACAACAATAATATCTTTATTCAAAAGAGAAAGTTCAACTTTCTCTAACAAGAGCATTTCACAACCAACCCTAAGCTGATAACAAATAATAATCTCAGAATTTTATAATACGTTCTCATTTTCAAAGTGCTTTCACAGATCTCATTTGATCAACAGCGAAAAATTGAAAAATAATAGCTCAGGCTCTATGTTAAGAGATGTGACAAAAGTGATCGATTTAAGCGCCTAAACACCAGATAAACCTTTACTCCTCATCTTATGAGTATATTTTCCTTCCATAAGGAAGATGTTCAACCAACGAGTAACCACAAATTTGTCTCCTTTCCACAACTTTGCCCACAATTTTTCTCTATGAATAAGAAATAAATTGTTAGGTACAACTTCAAGGGACCAAAGGCAATCTATAAACAGATAAAGTGAATTTGATGTTGAGCCATAAAAGTGTGTACCAAATCAAAAATCATGAAATTAAACAAACTAAGTCCTTTGTTCCATTACCATATCTGTTATACTTCTGCGGATCCAGCTTGGCCCCATGAGACCCATAACATCTTTTGTGTTCCCTGTAGAACAGGAAAAAAAAACTTCATTATTGTGGTTTGTTTTAGTCAAGGTAAAAGCCTCAACCAGACAATCTAGACACCAACTATCCAGTGATGTGGGGCCTCTAGACAGAACAGGCATGCACATATTTACTAGGACATAGTCAATATCAAGTAAAGCATTTCTGATCATCTGTAAGCAAACATAAAATAAAAATCACCAAAAAGGTATAAATTGGAAAGGCTGTGGAAATATTATTTTAAAAAAATCAAGATTCTATTTTGCATTTAAATCTGTACCCAATATTGCCTGAGGGCTCCATTCATATAAACCACCAGACCACTAAACCAGCAAGGCTACGACGTGGGAAAGTTCTTAATGCTCCAAACCAGAACTCGTTCTTTGGGACAGTGTCTAATTCCTTGCTGGTAACTTTAAAATATAAATAACTCTGAGTGAGCAAAACCATGGCGTGAATAAAAATAAAGCTATATTTGTTGGAAATATAATTTGTGCCAGGCACTAGTACAGTTAAGCCTCCTAAGAACCCCAAGAGTTGGTGTAATTATTGGCCCCATTTTACAGACCAGGAATCTAAGAAGCCAAACTTGCCCAAGATCACAACTAGTAAATGGTGGAACAAAGATTCAGCCCAGATCTGTCTACCTCTCAATGCAAAGACATCTCAAAATGTAGTTACTTCTGCTACCCTCTACTCCTTCTAGGGGAGGGAGTGCTAAAACGAAAAAGGAAAAGAGGTGTCATGAAAACATGGTTTATTTGCTTCAAAATTTTTGCCCAAGTCTAGTTCTGCTTTTATTTTTTGAAAGCGAGGGTGTCTCAGTAAGAGAGGTGAAGCTAGGTTAAGGGCTAGGCCCCAAAATTAAATGTTTAAGTCAGTTTCCCTTCTTGGCTAGAAAGTTGGTTAGTCACTGCTGAGATAAAGGAGATACACCAAATAGAGTTTCCGAGTACGTCCCTGAGGGATTTCCCCTGATACTAGGAAATAACTGTAAGGTTGTTTGTGCAGCTATTTACAGTTCACAAGTACTTTCACATGCTTTAACTCACCCTGATTCCCAGTGAAGTGACAGAGTGGTGATTATTAACCCTTTACCGTTGTTAATTACAAATGGGAAAACCGAGGCTCAGAAAATTCAAGTGACTTGCTCTCTCCCAGGTCACAACCAAACTGGTAGAGTCATAATTAAATATGGTGGAGCCTTGGGGCTCCATTTTCAAGTCAACTGAATGTTTTCACTTTGCCTTCAAAGAATTCCAGTGGCTAAAGAAGTTTTACAAATAGTACTTCATTAGCCCATACACACAGCAAACACATACAAATATGCCTAGCAGGTGCTGTCATTGTGGTAAACTGACCTCCAGGCATAAAAGTAGGCCTTTGCAACTAGATCCTCAATGGCAACATTTCCCTACCCTGGGACTGTAACACCCTACAGGATCCCAAATTATCTCAAAGTTACCCAAATTTCTCTCAAGAAAATTTTATTTGTAAGAATTCATGCAATATTTTGGGTGAGAAATAGCCACTGTATAAGAGAGGAAGATGGAGAAACAGGTAATGAAATAATTTTATCTGCATATTACCTTATAGTTTATAAAGCTCTTTCATACTCTCATTTTATTTGATTTTTAAATGCTGTGAAATGGGCAGAGTTGATATTATTATCATTTTTTTTCTAATAACACTAAGATTCCCCATCCATAGTGCATGACCTCTCCTATGAGTCAGCCCTTGGGTCACTTCTCCTTAGTGGATCTGAATTTAAAGGCATCTAAAAGATGATTCTCACTGTGAACTACACCTAAAGGAATTTTAGGCTTATGCTAACAAGTTTGGAGTTTCAGGAGCTCTCAGAAGCTGTGGACTCCTTAGTCCTAAAATAACTGCCAGTATACTAGTCTCTAGTTAGAGCAGTGCTTTCACCAGTAATTTATAGTAAATGATTTCTCAGAAAATTTTCCTCAGAAAAACCTAAACTTGGCACACATTTAAGTGGCTGTAGACAATCCCTCCAATTAAGCAAAGGGATAGTTCTCACTGAAGGTCTTTGCCTAATTCCTCCATTACTGATCTTCTCTTGGAACAAAAGCTGAGGTGAGGGCAAGTTCAACTAGGCCCCAGTTCCTAGGTTTGCAGAATGTTATTGAGTTTCCTGACCACATGCACCCGGCAGACTCTCTCTCACCTCAGTTGCCAAAATGACCCACCAATCCAACCCGTTTTCCCACCCACACCCATCTCCAGCTGGACTCAGAGGCAAACACTAAGTAGGAGAAAGTAAAGCTGAAGTTTATCATCATTACTACACCTTCCATTTATATAACATTTTTTCTTTTCACTGCGCTCTTATATATATATATTCTCTTTTTTGGTCCTGTCAGGGGAGAAAGGCAAGAACAGCACAAATATATGCAAAGAAGATCCCTCATCCATGCTAACCAGGTGCCCTGCTCTCAAAACTTCGAAGCCCACGCAAAAGCTCACACATGCTCAGTGTGCCTCAGTTATGTCCATAGATCCACACTGAGATAGAAATAAACACAAAGGGGGTGGAAATAAATCTGCTTACTCTTGATTGGGAATCCAGAAACCTGGGTTCTTTTCCCAACTTGGCACTTAATTATATCACCTTGTACTAGTGATATTCCCTACCCCAAAACAGATATTAATTTTAAAATCTATTCTATGTCTATGGCTACTGAGCATCTGAAATGTGGCTAGTGTGATTGAAGGACAGAATTTTTCATTTCATTCCGTTTCATTTAATTTACATTTAACTTTAAATAACCACACATGGCTAGTGACTACCACACTGGACAGCACAAAATAACATAGGGATGTTGGCTTGAATGATCTGTACCATCTCTCCTAAGTCATCTATGCAATTCTGTTCTGCAGAGTTCATTCAAACTCATCTGGAATTCTCAGTTAGTGTGCCCAGGCCTCACCAGAAATGATAATCCAGGATCGCTTTATACCCAGGGTATAGGCCCTGGGGCAGGAAGAAGGAAAGTGATGCAAGCCTATTTCTACAGCTAGACCAACATTTTTTATTGTCTCTGGGTTTCTAAGCTGGGACTAAAGGGTAAATCAAGGCTATCCCAATGAATGTACATGTGTGTATAGAACGGGGCTGTGAGTATAGTAACACTCTTTATCTACCTTTCGAAAGTGTCATTAGTATTAATTATGGAACAATTTCAGTTCTGGAAGAAAAAATGACTTCTCTTGATTTTGTGGTAAAACAAATACATCTTCAGAAAGTCTCTTTCTCTCTGGCCTCAGTTTCCTTGTCTGCAATATGAGAGAGTTGGACTAGATTTATTTATTCGACAAAGCAAACGAGGTGATAAGCTAGGGACACACCTTGGACAGCTGGGGACACGATGATTAATCAGACCTGTTTTACCCTCAGGAACTCAATTTAATAAAAAGTCTAAACAAAGTAATTTTTCAAGGCCCCATTTCAGCTCTGAGTCCACATAAGCTATGAATCCTGTGGCTCATAGTTAATGTGTGAATGTTGTATGACCGAAAATCTTTTAACCTTTTACATAGGTCCTACTTCATTAAAACAGAGTCACCATCCAACTACATGTTACTCCACCTCTCCCTCACCATTACTACTTGGTCCTATTCATCCCAGCAATAAGGTAAAAACTAAAAAAGTCGGGGAAAATGAGAAAGAGTAGAGAGATGGCAGCAGAGAGGTATCAGTCTGGGCACGTAACCATTTCCTAAAATGATAGAAAATGTGAGGGTAAGTATGTAATGAAGATAGAAAGGATGGAGAGGTGAGGAAAGGAGATAAGGAGTCTGTTGTTAATTATAGCAAACATGGTATAAATTGATACAGCTATAAAGGCAAAGACCAATCAGGGATGAGTGGAGCACTGCCCTTCCCACCACTCAGGAAGCAGAGAAGCAACTAAGGAAGGAAATGCGTAGGGGAGCACACAGAAGCAGCACAGAGCATCCCCTCTCTGCTACAGCTGTTCTGGTGCTATCTTGATACTCAAAAATCTAGCCCCTTTCTCTTTTATTCCTTACCTGATTATGAACTACCCTTCCACGATAGCTCAAGATGGCTGTAACAGTCCAGACTGAAGAGGAAGCGATAACTCACCCTCTGCCTCCCTTATGAACTTTCCCCTAGATCTCTGGGGATCTAAAGTCAGTGGAAGAAATTCTAGCTATAATGTCACTTTAGTTAGTAAAATTCCCCAGGGGAGGATTAAAGAGTCTGGTGTTGGATCTAAATGTTATTTCCCCCTTTAATTTGATTGGATAGCCTTTTCCCGCAACCAGTACCACAACCAAGAATTCTATGAAAGGCAATGAAGATTTCAGAAACCTTCGAGCCCTGGCTCCTGCTTGCCTGTAAGATAATTCTGGTACCCACAGATGTAAAGTTTGAGTAAATGGCTTTATTCCTGCAACAGGTAGCGGGCCAGAGGGCTGTTGCTGGGCTCACGTTTTACTGAGTACACCAAATTAGTTATTAGCTATGGGCCATATTTAAAAAGTATTAAAACGAATATATTTATGCCCATCCCCATATAGACCATCTTAACATAACTTAATACAATTGATGTAACCAGCTAATATCCATTTGGTTCATAAGATCAAGATGCCACCCCAAGCTCCAGTCACCACATAGCAAATTGCCATGTCCCGATTCTCCCAAAGCCAGACAGAGCATCCGATATCTCCAACACTCCCAGAGCCTAGCCAAAGACCAAGAGCATTTACCTGGCTCCCAAATTCCTAACACAGGACCACTGATAGCAAGCCCAGTCATTCCAGACCGTTTTCAGTGTGACAGAAAAAAACCCACTTTTAATCCAGTGGAGGCAATGTATTGTCGTGGGGATTTGGGGAAGCCAACCTCAAACTAAGACAATTATTTTCCAGGACATAAAACACCAGAAAGGAAAAGCCTTTTTAGAATGTGGACAGAGCCACAAGTGTTATAAATGAGAGAGAGAGAGAGATGTGAACTTTATCTTGCCTAAGATCATGTTTCACATAATGACAGTTAGATTAGCATATACTGGTAGAATTATCTTTATCTGCCTACAAATAGTCTAACCACCCTCAAGTCACAAAAATCAGACCAAACTAAGCCGAACAGAGTATACTCCTTCCTGCTTCCCATCTCAAAGCAGCTGCATGATTTCCTGAGGATGCTGTTGCTGGAGCTAGGGATAAAGGCTCATTTATAACACAACAACCTGCAAGTCTCCAGTTTCTATTCTTCCTCGTTCCTTCTGCCTTCCCCTCCCCCACTTTGCACCAGAGGAGCCAAATTTAGGCGTGCTTTAAACAGTTTGAGGACTAATCTGAAAGAGGAAGAAGAATCTGTATACATTGGCTAGCATATGTGCCCTGCCCTCTCTCCTCTTGAAAATAGCGACAACTCGTCTTTTCAAAGAAGCCGGCCTAAAGAGCAGGAGCCCTGTGAATGGAGTGTGCTTTCAGGACTGTCCAGAGTATTCGGTTCTCCAAGGAACGGGTAGATTGGATTTACTGAAGACTTGGAGCTTGCTTCTGAGAGTAAATGCAAAAGGACCTTAAACTGTCAACCTTGAAGTTAGCAGGTAAGGAGATTCAGTGTTTCAATGCCAGGATCAAAACAGCATGTAGTAAAATTCTGCTGATGGCAGATTTTAGCAAATTCCTAGAAATTTGGGGATAACTAATATGCCTTGCCTGCTATAAATTAGGCTGTTGGTATGAATTCTTTCTGCTTTATTTATCGGCCAGAGATTTGATAATCTAGTTTGTCAACAAATATTGCTCAGTCCTTCTGCTAGGGGCTCAATGCGGCAAAATACAGACAGGACACTCCCCAAGCCTCCAGCACCTTTGCAATCAAGTCAGAAATGTAGGGCATATTTTAAAATCCTATTTTAAGGGCTCAATGGAGTTTCTCTATCTGTAATGACAGTTTCCTTCACTATGGAAAAAAATATATATAGTGACTGCTGAGGGTAAACCAAACGGTGAAGAATGATCTGATATTTTCACAAGGTAGTTTCACATTATCCCACTTTAACCTCTCAACATACTGCAATTTAGACGGGTTAGGTGGTACTACCCCTGTTTGCAAATAAGTAAATAGGCTCAAAGTGGTTAAGAATTTTTTTTTTTTTTAAAGATTTTATTTTTTTTCCTTTTTCTCCCCAAAGCCCCCCAGTACATAGTTGTATATTCTTCATTGTGGGTTCTTCTAGATGTGGCATGTGGGACGCTGCCTCAGCGTGGTTTGATGAGCAGTGCCATGTCCGCGCCCAGGATTGGAACCAGCGAAACACTGGGCCGCCTGCAGCGGAGCGCGTGAACTTAACCACTCAGCCACGGGGCCAGCCCCTCAAAGTGGTTAAGAATTTTCTGGAAACGCACCACACAACTAGAAATTGGCAAGTTCTGACTAGAGACTGCAAATAGAAAGCTCTCATATCTATAAATGAATATAAGAAAATTGCACTAGCTATTTAGTAACTTAGACATATCTAACACAGACCAAGTTTACACAGAGCGAACACTTTATACATTTTAATCAGAATCTTGGGCCAGGAGCATTCTTCTACTTAGCAGCAATGAAGCTGTTTTCAAGGGTAAACAAATGGGTTGGTGGGTTCCATCTCTAGCTAAAAACAAAAGCAAAAAAACCTTGAATTCAGTGGTTCTGGCTTACAGCGCTCTGATTGTTTTGAAACCTAGAGAGAGGCCATGACACCATACAGTTATCAGGTGATTATTCAAAAACAAAATGTAACAAACCTGGACTTGGGACTGCATTGTATTTCAAATATATTAATGAACTTTGTTTCTAGACAATTTTAAGTTTATAGTATCTGCTGCAGCAAGATTAAGTTTAAGGTATCTATTAAAACCATTCAAAAATATTTTCTGTTGTTGTTTCACTATTAATTGCCCAAGTAGAACTAAAAGTTGTCTGTGTTTACATAGTAAATAAACAACCTCATGTATTATATTTATATCCATCCCCTTAACAAAAACTGCTCCCCAGGTCCCCATAATATTTAAATGACTACACTAGCCAGTCAGTTCCTACATATGAAATAAATCACCCTGGGAGCCAGTGAACCCAAATAGAATGGTAGGTTAAAGAATGTTTGCAGATTAAGTCCAGTCTGAATCCAGCATTTCAGTGTCTTCCTAGCTCAGAATCCTCAATTTCATTTTCTACTACCCTTTCCTTCCTACCTTAATCAAATTTTGATATGTTTAGGAATTATTTATCTGGAGTAAAAACAAGATTCTTCTATGGCACAGAAAATTATAAATTTGCCTTTGCAGTATCATTGGCTGATAATAAGGGATTAAAGGGAGAGCACTAATCCTTAAGATACATATCCAACTTTGTGGATTTGATGCTATGAAGTGTTACTATCATAATCTCCCAGGTAACACGGGTCTGCATGAACCTCTACTTTGATCCATTTTGTTATTTCTTATGTTCTTATTAAAATATCTCAAATCTGTTGTAATCCAGTTAAGCAAGTGTCAATTAAGCTCAATACAGTATGTGGCACAAAGTAAGGTAAGATGTAGTTCCTGCCCTTGGGAAACTTACGTTGGTGGGGATACAAGACACAGAACATAAAAATATGAGACAGTAAACCAATGTTATGTTTTTCATGGCAAGGGAGTTTGGGGAAGAAAGCTAGCAGTGGGCTGGGCTGAATGGAGAAGGCTTCACAGAGAAGATAAAATGAGATAGGCCTAAAAGAATATCTAGGATATGGGACTATACTGAGCAAACTTTCTGTGCACATAGTAAGTGATCAATATATGTGTTTGAATTCAATTCTACTCGCAGAAATGATGTTAGAAATATATTATATCAAAAGTGAGTTTGGCACCCACAGGGTACACCAAGGAGCCTGATCTGGCTAGAGTAAAGGGATTAAATTGAGGAATAAGAGAAAATAAATTTCGATAGAAATTTAAGACCAGATTATTATACATTGAATTCCAGGCACTTTTTAATAGGAAATCATATCAGCAAACTTAGAATAAGTGAGGACATCATGGAAAAACATTTTGAGTAGATGAATCTGGCAGAGTTTCATAGACCTGACAACGCTTGGAGAAAACTAGAGATGGAGAGACCCCTTATAGACTAGAAATTAATGAGGCTCTCGACTACATTGGTGGCAGTGAAAATGGAATGGAGAGAGACTCAAGAGACATTTAAAATGAATAATAGATGGAGGTTGGTGAGTGATTAAATACAGGCAGCACAGGAAAGGAATAAGTCAGAGCTGTCTCTGAAATTTTGAATCTATGGGATCTGGGCAGTTGTGCTGCTACTGTTCACTGAAATAGGTAACTTGGGGATGGAAGTGGGAAGTGTAGGACATGATGAGTTCTGTTTTTGATCTATTGAGTTTGAGGAGATGGCAAAAATTCCAAGAAGCAATGTCTGATGGATGGTGGGAAATAATGGCCTTGAATGTGAGTGATGGGTAAGAGGTGGAGGCCGAAGTTAAACCTGGGGAGGGTGATAGCCAAGGCCATAAGAATAGCTCAGCTTAGAGAAAGCAGATCTAATCTAAGAGATGACCAAGGACTGACACTTATGCAGTGCCTACACTTTCAAGCAAGAGGAAGAAGAGGGTCCTGAGAAATAAGAGCCACAGAAATATAATTTTTCTTCTCCTCACAAGATACCAAGAGTCTTGAGGGAAGATATGAGGTTATTTATTCTTTTAAACCTCCCCTGCCCAACCATAACTAGCATAGTGCCTCTTACACACCATGAGCACTCAATAAATATTAAATTATTCTAACATAAGCAAGCACAGAGCTTTTTTTCTTTGGTTTCAAACTATCGTCAAGTTTGAACCCAGTCATAAACTCTGCAACGTAACAGTGGCTACTCTAAACTACCTTGCTGTATGGATTTCAAAGGGAAAGAAACCGGGCCTGGATAACTGGGAGTTTATCCTAGCTTTGCCTTTTAACCAGCTGTGTTTTCTGCAGCAGGAAATATTGAGCATCAGTACTTCTTGTTTTCCTCATGTATCTAACGTAGTAGTGAGCTTGTAGGAATATTTTTCAGATCTTCTAAAATTATAAATATGAAAGCAAACTGAAAACACAAACTACCATCCAAAACACTTTTGTTTAAAGTCCATTCCAGGGGAATAAAATACATAACAAAATTGATTGCATGTGGAGGGAGTAGGGCCAGTTACTTTCTGCTCCCAACACTACACCTCTGGACCAGGAGCCTCGCTCTAAGCATCAGTAATCTCATCTTACTCCTAGGACTCATCAGTAGGATCCAGCCCTCTGGTTACCACCAACTTTGCAATACCTGCGCAAGTTTCAAAGTGAATTCTGAAAGGAATAAAAAATTTAATAGTAATATTTAAGAAGTATTTTTGTCAAAATACTATCTACCTTTTTTCATTAGCTATTACTTCTATGAAGTCCATTGATTCTTTGGATTAAATGCTAAGGATCAAAATAATTTTTTACACCGAGTTCTGAATGTACACAATATTCCACTACTCTGTCATAAAGCCACTTGTTCAACCACAGGTTTGGTTATAATACTAATCATGTTCTCAGAATATATAGGTAGTGCATGTGTCTTTCCCTAAAATACAAAGACCTAAAGTCATTGTTATCCTTTACACCAATGTTATTTGGGTTTCAGGCTACATGGTTGTCTATATGGTATGATTTGAGAGGCAGTAAAAAACAACTTTCCCGGTTCAATCAGGCATGAGCAAACTCCTGGGAGACAGATTCATACTAAGCAAGCCTACAAAAGAGATTCAAGAGTCAGAATGCCAATTTGTTGATTTGAGTTGAGGAAATACAACTGCTAAGAAGTTTGAGAGACTCATAGCAGATGGTGGCACATCCTCATCCTTACAGAAAAAGCAACAAAGGAAGGCATTTGACCTGATTAGATAAATCCAGACACCTTAAGTCCGTTAATTCATGTTACAATACTGGTACTAAAACATCATCAACTGACAATTACTTTGGCCTTCAATTGAGAATTCTTCATAGGTTGGTAGAGAAGACCACTGTTTAAACAGAAGTTGTGTGTCCCAAAACTCTTCTATCCTGCTTCCTCATTCCATTCCATCACACTCATCCCACCACGATCCTTCCCTTCTTTGTGCCCCACCAGTTTTTTTTCTGGATTTAGAGGGTAGTATGTATGAGAAAAAAGAGAAAGGAAAATCTTTAAATGTTTGGAAGAAGTTAGTTAGCAAGGGCTTTTGTAGAAATAGAGGGAAAGAGACAAAACAGAAGAGTAAACACAGACCCTTGAGCTCAAACACAGAGCTGATTTTCCTTTTGATGAATAAAATGTCATTGTCTCATTTAGGGTTTTAGAATCAATGCATCCCAGACATTTGAGCTCCTACTTAAATGTAGCTGATGGAAAAGGAAAAAGAGCTGAGATCTAGACTTAGAGTTCCCTGGCACATTCAAGCTTTCTTTCTTTTTTTTTTTTTTTTTTTCCATGAATCCCTTTTCCCTAAAAAGGAAAGAAAAATCCAGCGTGGAATCACATTTTGAGATGCCTAAAATATAAGATTTGTTAATATTTCTCATCTATTTCAGATTTACAGCCTTTGCTTTTACATAGTGTTGTCTTTGTGTTGTCATGGATAAAACATAGTAAGTGGAATTAAGCTAATAATAACAACACTCAAACATCTCTGACACGTCAGACGCACTTATTCCAAAGTTCCCAGGAAGTTCAGGCCTCAGAAGATATTAAAAGCTTCTTTTCATTCCAAATTGGTTACCCTTTATGTTTAATCTGAATTTGTGTTCTTATTTAAGACAAAGGCCTTAAGTAAAAATCAATCTCTTAGAGAACAATTATCTTGTTTCCAAGATCCAGGCATCCAAATACCAAGAAGTTAGAGGCAGGCCTCCGAATCAGCTGTGAGCAATGGCCTGAGAAATTAGGGGGATTCCAAGCTGGCTGGTAATCAGATAGAGACTTATAGAGATATTCCTGGAAGAAGGTAGGCCCTCTAGTTAGTGCTTTACAAAAAGTTCAAAAGTATATAAGCTGTCTGTAACATATTCTTACCACCCAGACTAAGAGTGGAACTATCCTCCCACTGTACACTCCCACCCACAGTCATACACTCATCAAGATTTCTATTGCCATTTTGTGACTTGCATTTCCCTTCAGGTCTGTTCTTATGAATCACTTTATTCTGATTACATGGAATAAAACATTTGTGTTACACTACTATGCAAAGGGGCACCCTGTGTCATTAGCTCTGAATGCCACAGTCCAAGTTCCTTTTGGGCTTGACGGTGTCCTGTGTTTGGGATCCAACTATCTGAGAACAGAGTGGCCAGATTTGATGGGAGTGATGTTTTTCCCTTAAGGATGAAGAAGCTACTGGAGAGACACATCTTAGAGCTGTCAGCAATGCAGTATCAACTCCCCTGTAGTTTCTTATACCAGTGAAAAGGCTGCTAAGCATATCCCTGGAAATGCCAAGCAAAAAAGCGACTTATTGTGATAATAAGGCTACAGTGATCACAGGAGAATATTTCTACTCCCCTCTCCAAGATCTTTTATTACCATGGAGGAAAGCCGCTGAGATCATTAGCATAAGCCTGGTTGCTTATAGATTAAAACTCCATGGAATATGTGTAACTTTACTCCAGTCACCCAATAACCAATCAATCAATAAACATTTATTGCAGTTTTCCATGCGCAACACATTGTGATAGGCTAGGCTTTGTGTTCACAGAGCTTAAGAAAAAATGGCTGGACTTTTTTTTTTCTCTCATCCTAGGGGTGTTCACAAGCTACCTAGGGAGACAAGATTCCCAAACATTAAAAGATACAAAAGAAGGTAGAACACTGACTGCCATATTATTGGTACAGACAATAAACAGAATACAAGTTCAAAGAAGAGGGATATGACTGTAGGATGGGGTAGTCAATGCAGATGTCAGGAAGTGAAATCTGAGCTGAGCCTAGTATGAGTAGGAAAGAGAACCATAAAAAGTTACATTTGTATAATGCTTTACAGTTTACAAAACATTCATATTTGCCGATTCTCCTATTCATTCATGTATCCAATTCAACAAATGCCTGTTGTATCAAAAGATTAATAAAAACATGGTTCCAGTTAATTAATTCAATGGGGGGAATCCCTTCACAATGTATACATATATCAAATCATCACGTTGTACATTTCAAATATTTTACAATCGTATTTGTCAATTCTGCCTCAGTAAAGCTGGGGGAAAAAAACATTGTCCCCTCCCTCCCTGAGCTCAGTCTTAGAGGAAGAGCAGCGTAACTAACTTTTTTCATTTGACAATAATAGGATACATGGAAAGAATATGAAAGAGGGCATGGGGGAGTTGACCAAATAAAAGTAGGGCCCCTCTGAGCTGCATGCACCCCATAAAAACTAAGTTTCCTGCATCTTGCCACTGCTCAGCAGAAGTGAAGGAAGTATCTGCCTTAGAAGGCTGAGCCCTGAGTCCCAACCTCCCCCACTTCCTCTTCTGCTTTGGCCCTGCCTTCATCACTCCACCCCTGTTGGCAGTCCTCCAGCACATGCAGACCATCTGGCCCATGCTAGCATTTGCTATAAAGGTAGAGGAAGTCTTGAGGAGGCATTCAACTTAATAGAGTCATAAAACTACATCAAAAAAATTTTTTTTTGAGGAAGATTAGCCCTGAGCTAACTACTGCCAGTCTTCCTCTTTTTTGCTGAGGAAGCCTGGCCCTGAGCTAACATCCATGCCCATCTTCCTCCACTCCATATGTGGGACGCCTACCACAGCATGGCGTGCCAAGCGGTGCCAATGTCCGCACTGGGGATCCGAACCGGCGAACCCTGGGCCGCTGAGAAGCGGAACATGCAAACTTAACTGCTGTGCCACTGGGCCGGCCTCTACATCAAAATATTGATTTAATCTTTCAGTCTCTCCTGTTGGCTGAATTCAATAACATTCATCATCAGTCTCACCCAGACCCTGCAGTCAAATACATCCTTAGGTCTTTGGATTTTCATCAGTCTCTGACCTAGGCTACTTTTGAACTCTCCTTCAGCCCCACCAGACCATTTTTGCCTTTTTTGTTTTAAACTCTTTGCCTTCTGTTCCTTCCTAAATGTGTGGGTTCATCTGCCCCATCCCCTTTCCTTTCTTTTCCAGTAATTTGTACAGTGTCCGTTTATGAGTCATGTTCCCCTACACGCTTTGACTTTTCGAGTTTCTCTTTAACAGACTCTACTCCTGGAGGTGTCCACATTTCACTTCCACTTTACGCCATTATTTAAATTTCTGCACAATAGCACCTGCGTTTCCATACCAAAAACATGTTCCTCTCTCCACCCCCTACACACTCACCTTGGGGAGTTAAATACTCTATTACTCAAAAGCATCTAATACTACACACTTACTCTTCCAAAGTTGCTCAATTAGGAGAGGAAGAGAGCAAAAATGAATAAAGCAGACTGACTGCCATTAATGGGCTCACCCTCTAAATGGGTATGACAGACATGCAAGCAAGCAAAAGAGTAATTACAGCACGGTAATAAGTAAGATAAAAGAACCATGAACAAGGAAGCATTTGTAGAGAATGACAACTTCAATTTGAATCTTGAAGTGTAAGCAGAAATTTGCCAAGTTCACCTCTTTGACCATGTAAAGGTGAAAGAGGATGCGTGGTTCAACTATCTTCAAGTAGCCAAGGCATGGTGAGAAGGATCCTGAACTAAGTTGGTAGGGGAGAGAGAGAGTCAGAGGATACTGCAAAATAAAAATCCAACAGAACTTAGAATTTACAAATGACGGATGAAGTCCGGGTGGGGTGGGGTCAAATATTATTACCAAGTTCTGTGCCTGAGTTACTGGAAGACTATTAGTGTCAATAAGAAAAACAGAAAAGTCAGTTGAAGAAGTTCGTTTGGGAGTGAAGATGATGTACTTATCTTTAAGAATGTTGAAATTGAGAAAAAGGCATGTAATTCGAGAAGAGTAATCTAATAGGCAGTTGAAAATGAGAGATTAAAGTTCAGGTGAATAGTTTGTGGCTGAAACAGAGAATTGAGGCATCCACACGAAAGTGATCTTTTTAAATGATGAAGTTGATAAATTCTCCAAGGGAAAGAGAGAAGCAAAGAACTAAATACGAAACATTTCCATTTCACAGATCTTGGCTGCACTGACAACCTCAATTGGCTATCTGAATATCTGTCACTGATGAAAGGGAGACCAAAAGGAAGAGTAGGTACTGGGGCAGCAGTGTGGTAGTAGAACTCGAGTGAGGGTTGTAATGCCTGGGTTCTAGTCCCAGCCCTGTCATTAGATATGTGCTCTTGCGCAAGTCATCACCACTCCGCTCCCATCCCCAGGTTTCAGTTTTTTCACATGTAGAAGTCCATTGGAACACAATGCAAAGATACTTCTAGCTCAAGGTGGCACTTATTCTTGGAATAACAAAGAGTATGTTCTACTGACACAGGTTGGTAATATAATTTCTTTAAAAAGAATTGCATACAATCTCACTAGCCATTCATTATATTCCTGGTGTGTATGCAACGTGCTATGCTAACCACTCTAGAAAAAAAAATTGAGGAAGTACAAGGGGAAGTAAAAGAGATAAAAGAAAACATGAAGATATAATTCCTGCTTTCAAGAAACTTGCAGTCTAGTTGAACCTACTGGCCTCACTTTCAGCTGATCCACTGTAAGTCATAATTCAGCTGTCAGACTTGCCCATCACTTTAGTTGGATGAAAAACAAGTAGCTTAAATTTAGCTCTCATACGAAGTTGTACTTAGTACTTTTCTGCTTTGGTAAAATGTTCTTTAAAAATTCCTGTTACTGTTTCAAGAGTTATACCAAAGGAAAAATAAGAAAGTAATATAGTGAATGAATGATAGATCTAATGTGACTCAGTAAAGCAATTTGGAAACGAGTTAGTCTGATTCAACACATTTACTGGGCACCAACTGTTATTTTCCCTGCTAGGTTCTACAGAAACTATTCGTTTTAATTAGATCTGGTCTTTGTCCTCAAAAAAGTCTACAATTGATTAGTAGAGATTAGACAAATACACAAATTACTATAAGAAAAAGTAAAAAGAAGAGGTAGAAACACAAAATTGAATTCTGTAGTTGAACCATCGACCTCTGTGGCCAACTGCTCTCTAAGGTTCTAACATCCTGAGAATGCCCTGTACTTCCTCCCTCCTAATTCTTCCTTCCACATCTCACCTTTCTACTAACCCTTCCTCATTATGCCCTCTGGAACCCCCTTTTCATTATAAGTAAGTTCTCCTACATCCTAAACCTCTTCAAATAACTCTCCGACCACTTCCTTGCCTTAAGTAAAACTTGGTCCTCCCGATCAAAAGGAAGCTGCTTATTTTCCTACATTCCATGTACTGTGAGATCTAGAGAGTCTGTTGGATGTCTCCTGGCTCCCTGATGCCACTTTAAACCATTACTCTTCTACCATGATGCAAAAAGCCATTCATCTATGCCACCCTCTAATCTTCCTTATTAATGTCGTCATCTGTTGACCTCCTGGTTATATTTTTCCCTAATTCACTGAATATTTTGACATTTGGCTTACAGTATTCCTTTCTACTCCAAATCCTGCTATCACCTTGGTAACTTCATTTTCCGTGTAAACAGCCAACCCAGCAAACTGCCTTTAACTTTTCTTGACCACTTTATCTGGAATAATGTCCATTCATATTCCTCCTTGGTTACTCATTCCACGGCCATACTTGGGGTCTTATTTATCATCACATAACTAAAATCTTAAACTCCAGTGTACCATACCCTGACCACAAGCTCCTAGACTTTAGGCTATCTCACACCCTTATTGTCACCAGTTATCAAATATAAGTGAATCTTCCAGTCCCTCGGTCTCTACCTTTTCTCCCAATTTGTTAAACTTCTTCATGGTTTCACTTTTAATCATTCTTTTGGTAGTGTTTTCAATTTACTCACCCCATTGTCCTTTTATAACATTTGCTCTATGACACCTAACCTTGTATCAATTTTAGCATTTGCATTTTTTCTCTTCTACACCCAGGCTACTGAACACTACTGGAATAAATTGCACAATTTTGTAGACTGGAACCATTAAAAATCTACACTTTGCAACCTCAGTTGGGCCTTCAGTCCCTTCGTGGTCATATTTCACTCTCATTCCCCAGAACCACCATTGAAATCTTCACCGGTTTTTAGAAGACCTAAACCCAAGTGCAGCCCTTTTTTTCTCAACAGACAACGTTGTCTCTTACTTCACCAAGAAAGTTAAGCCTCTCAGGGATCAGCAAACTCTATCTTTGCTGCTCCACTTCCTCTTTCCATTACATGTCACTTATTTTTTTCTCACTCTGCACCCTCTAATGGCTTTCTTTTTTCTTTTTTTTTTTTTAAAGATTTTATTTTTTTCCTTTTTCTCCCCAAAGCACCCCCTGGTACATAGTTGCATATTCTCCATTGTGGGTCCTTCTAGTTGTGGCATGTGGGACGTTGCCTCAGCGTGGTCTGATGAGCAGTACCATGTCCGCGCCCAGGATTCGAACCAATGAAACACTGGGCTGCGTGCAGCGGAACACGTGAACTTAACCACTTGGTCACGGGGCCAGCCCTCTAGTGGCTTTCTGTTCTCCAGAGGATAAACTCAAATTCTCTAGAATGGTATACAAGACCCTTTATGATCTAGTTCTTGCATTTCCTTCCAAACTATTTTCTCACTTTTAAACCCTATAGTACAACCACACGCAGATACATACACCCAAACAGGCACACCTGCACACACATACACCCTCCTTCTTATATTTCATCCCTATCACATTGTTAGCTGTTCCCTAAATATGCCAGACTATTTCACACCTCCAACCTGTTGCTTATTCTACTTTCTACCTTTGCCTAGAATGCTCTTCTCCACCTGTCATACCCTTCTATCTTTTATGAAGCCTTTACTAACATACATACACCATTTACTATTCCCATTCTCTGTATCCTTTATATAATTCTATTGCAGCAGCTGTAATGGTGCAATGAATTAATTTTGTTAACATATCTGTGTCTCCTTCTAGTAGAGTGTAAGCCTTCGTGGGCAGAGCTTGTGTCTTATTTTCCAAAGGATCTAGAACAGAATTGATACATAGTATCCAATACATCCCTTTTCATATAACTAGCATATCACAGTAGTACAGACCATCAGAAAAGTTTTTATGGAGGAAGGGATGTAAAAATTGCCTTAAAGATGATTAGAATTACATCTGCTAGCAATGAGGACAAAGGGCATTTCCAATGGCAAAGTGGTCTGAGCAAAGGAAAAGAGACCAAATAAGGGATGAGCTGATCATAAGGTCACATTTATATAATATTCACATAGTAAAGCATGGAAAGTGACTCTATAAGGTTAGGATAGAATATTATTGTAGTCTTGAATGGTACTTCAAGCTTAACTTAATAGCCCACTGGAGACCTTTGAAAGGGAAGTGATATAATTAGAACAGTGCTTTAAGATGAATAATCCAGCATAAATGATAAAGACAGACTGAACAGAAGAGAAATAAGAAAATTTAAAAAGAAAGTTGTAATTTCTAATATTCAGTAAACAGTACTCCAATATTATAACCAAAATAGAGTAAAGAAATGGATCAACTCTTGGCTTTTATACAGTTCTCTGCACAACAGTTTGTTCAACTGTCATGATTCGTACCAGTATATGAGTTTGTTTTATGTCAGTGTTCAGTGACAGATCTTGTGGAATCTGAAAGTTAACAGTGTGGCATAGTGAAAACAGCACTGGATGTGAGTCAGGCATCCTGGCTCAGCCACTAATTCTGTGTGTTACTTTCAGCAATCATTTTATCTTTCTGGTCATGAAGGGAGTGGGGTTAGATTAGATGTTTTCTAAGTGCTCTTCCAGCTCCAACATTCTATAAAACTAGGTCATTCATTCTCACTATAAAACAGAGATTTTATAGCCACTTCTGGAAGCCTCCTTCAACAGAGTAGTTCTGTTTAAGAATTGTTTTCTATATCCTGACGCATACTACCTTTTATTGACTTATTCACAGTGACCTGGTTCAACTAACACTTGTGTTGGAACATAGCTCTCATCCCTTCTCATATGACTCACTCTGTGACCGTGTCTGGTCTAAAATCCTCATGAAAGCCTGAACACAAGAACACTGCTAAGTTACTCTTTGCCCTGCGATTTCTTGCTGTAGAGAGTGCCCACAAAGCACTGGTAGAATTTTTCAAATGAATACATTTTAGAGTAGCAAATTTGATATTATGTTAACAGATTTACAGTAACAGAAAGGGCCCTGAGAAGTAATTTAGTACAATCTAGTGGGATGAAATTTATGTTTTCTCCTATAGGCAATCAGGAGATTCTCAGGAGAGAGAAGGTGTGATCAAAGTGGGGTTCAGTCAGGACTACCTCCTCACTACTGATTTATGAACAAGTTGAAACTTGCTTTCCATGGTTATACCTAGTTTGTTCTTTCTTTCTTTTTAGCTCTGCTTGCACCAAAGCAGTACATTTTCTGACTGGTATTTAGCAAACTATACAAACTTACTGGGCATTGACATCAGTTTCATCTCCCAACTCATCTAATTTTTAAAAGTTAGTCCAGGAGCCAGTTCTGTGGCCAAGTGGTTAAGTTTGCACACTTTGTTTCAGTGGTGGCCCGGGGTTCACCAGTTTGCATCCTGGGCGCAGACCCACATACTACTCATCAAGCCATTCTGAGGTGGGGTCCCACATAGAAGAACTGGAAGGACATACAATTAGGATATACAACTATGTGTTGGGCTTTGGGAAGAAAAAAAAGAGGAAGATTGGCAACAGATGTTAGCTCAGGGCCAATCTTCCTCACCAAAAAGCACACCTAAAAGAAAATTACTAAAAAAGAAAGTTATTCCGAATTCTAACTCCTATTCACCAGTTGGTAACATCTGCATAAAATGATTCCATTTTCTTGCCTATTATCAAGGATATTAATAACAATGGTAGCCCAAGGCCAACCCTGTGAGACATGGCTATATCAGTCTCAGACCAACACTCATCAGCTATCATTCTCAAGCATAATCCTACCACCAATTCAATGCTAGTCAGTAACACCTTTAAGGTTTTACCATGTCTCAAGCCCTGGGCTAAGCTTGCTGAGAATACAAAGACAAGTGAGACAGGCTACCTGCCCTAAGGAGCTTCAGGGGAGAAGAGCTAAGCCAAGTACATAA